TGAAAATAGTGACTGCAATTTGTTACGAGCATAAATAATATGAACGAAGGCATCAAGTCTTTTCAACACATAAAATTCTAAAAGAAACTGCATCGACAAGAAATATTCGACCAATATTCAATATCAAATATTTATCGTATGAGTTTATGAAGAGCAGAAAAGAAGAACTTACATCTCATAATTTAAATCCATTTTCCAGTTGGTTTCTCTTCTGTCGATCGGATGATCCGCTATCAGACACCCTATAAATCTTTGGGTCTGTGTATCGTATCAGCGAAACGGAGGGTATCTGATAGAATACAGAGATTCCGTGCGGAGAATCGGTGGCTAAGTTTCCATCGTTAACTCCAGCCCCCACAAGTTGAGCCGCGCGTGTTGTCGTCGACGACGTGCGGATATAAAAAGCGGCTCGACGACAGCACTGCGTGACAAACGATCGCATTCTGAACGCCCGACTTCTTTCCTCCTCGCGCATAAATCCTTGTACGAGGCGGAGATTCGTCTCAACTCGAACACCTTAGCAATCGACCACTCGGTGCCAGATTGTACGTGTAATTACATGTAATTAGTATTATTAAAATAAACATTGAGCCTTCGACAAATTTCGAGTCGCGGCTCTAAGTTCCTGCGGCTTGAATCTTGACTCTTGAAGGGCTGAAGTCCTCGACATTCGAGTCCCTAAACTCGGAGACTCAAACTTTTCAAATTGTGTGCAACGATGCTTGTAAACGGTATCGTATGCTATCATACGTCACACGTGTCGATGATAGCGATGTATTATTCACGGAATCACCCTTGTGAGCTTCGAGAGCTAAGTCTTAAAGTTTCGTACAAGTTTCTCGAAGTCCTGGTCCAACATTAGTCTTAAAGGCTCAGCCTTTAAGGTTGAATCTCGAAGCTTCGAAAACTCGAGCTAAAGACTCGGGCTAAAGCTAACAAATTATTAGACCTGAAGGATCTTAGGATCTCGTGACGCTGCTGTTGCGTCATTCTATTAAAATAATATGAAAACATCATGGCGTAATTTGCAAAAATGCACATATAAATAATATATTCGAAATACAGAGTACTAGAAAAATTTTATTTTTTCTATAATTTTATATATATATATATATATATATATATATATTCTATTATTTTTATAATCTTTATATATATATATATATATATATATATATATATATTAAATATTCACAGTCTAATTATTAATTGACAATTATTTATATATATATATAATTTAAAAATTATAAAAGAAATGAAATATATATATATATATATAATATTACATATATATTAAATATATTAAATATTATATATATAAATATTCACATTGTAATCATTAGTTGACAATTTATTTGTATATTAGCGTACTTGCAATACTGTAGATAGACACGAACATATTGTAGCGAAAGGGTTAAGGAAGACCCAGAAAGCAATGCAGTATAGCGGCTGGTGGTTCGCCTTGACCGCCGCTTTTCGTAATCCAATGGCTTACATTTGTTTCGGGTGTAACACGGTCGGCGAATCTGTGCACGATTTAGTTCCCACTGGAAAACAAATTCCATCACAGACCGCGCGCTGGGCGCAGCAAGTCGAATGGATAAGCGGCTATAGAAATCGCAGTTCCCGTACCCAGAGCTAGGAAGGTAGAATATCTCCGGCGGCGTTTCTTGTCGTTCCTTTTAATCCAAAGATTTAAATCTCGCCCCGGCAGAAAAACCGGGCGGTGCGCTACATTTTGAACCAAGGTCCATTGTAAGCTCCCCGTCGGATCTCGAGGATTCACTCAGCTGAATGATGTACAGCAGCGCATGATTTAAGTACATGGCATGTAATGGGAATTATACGAATCTCGAGAGGAAATTTCACGCGTTCTTATTGTCCGCACGCAGGTGAGAAACTTTTTTTCCATCGCGCGCGCGCTGTCAGCCGGCAAAATGAAAATGTAGGAACGTGTACGTGCGCACTTTTGAGTGGGAATTAATTCCTGTTAAATGGAATTTGATAGATCTTTCATTAAATGGAAATTAGCTAAGTTTCTCTTAAACAGAAATCGTATCTTCATAACGTAGTGTGACGGAAATAGGAGAAACAAATTTTTCGGAGAATTCGTTGAAGTGGAAAGTTCCAAAGAGAAAATTGTTAATGATACGAGGAGTTTAGTATTTAGAAAATTTTTTCGTCCAGAATTCAACCTTATGGCGTTCGTCATTTATTTTTCACGTTTGAATTCTTAATGATATCTTATCTTTAAGCTTTGAAACGAAAAGTACAAAAGTAATGCAAAAGTAGTACAATTTATATATATCTATGCCAAACGAAATATTTAATTAATTTTCATTTCGATCAAATGAACTCGAGCAGAACATAAAGCTAAAAAGGAAATGACTCCCGAATATAATAAAACTATTTAATAAAGAAATATTAAACGAAGTTTTCAATTGCGAGGAAAATAATTAACGTTTAATTCGTTTTAATAACAGTAAACGCGTACATTTCAGTGAAAGAGAGTAGCACTCGCAGTTGCTCAAATAACACAGGATTTAATTCTAACTTTGGAATTAATAATCACATTGTTCATAGCGGGCGAATATACCTCTTAATATTTAAAACTCGACAAAAATACGAAATGTTGAAATTCGCACGTGTTGTTTTAACGGATTTCATTCTTGTTACAAAATTTCCCAGAAATTTAAACGGAAATGTTCAAATAGGTGAATGTAAAGTAGGACGATGTAATCAAATCAAGGTTTGAAAATAAACTGATTTAAAATACACGAACTTGTATCGAGATTTCTTTCCAAGACTTTCGTTATAGTAGCTTAACCGCTTACGTGATCAGACCGCGCAGCTGCCACGGTTTAGCATAACGCACGCACATTCGCTCCCGGTAGCTCGTTTATGTCACGTTCACGTTCCATAAAGAATGAGAATGACAAATTAGTCGAAAGGCAAAAAGAACTACCGTACTGAATTCTACAATACAAAATAGTTATAAGTATAATACAAAGTAGTTGAAATATACAAATGTATAAAATGCGTACGGCAAATTTTGAATGTTTCTCACTGAAAAATAATTTACTCTAAAATGAATTATCCAATTATCCAATTTCTGAAAAAGGAAATAGACGTTCTGTTCAATTCTATTGGACAGATAAGGTACTAATCTTAGAATGTTTTTGCAAATAACAAATAACAAATTCATTTCCTCATTCTTTCGTTAATTATAATTACTTCCTACTTCCTTACTACTTCCAAATATACATCTCGCAGCATTAACCAACGAAATTGAATAATTCTTATTGGCATATTGTTATCTTGTTATTAATTCGAAGAATTAATAAAAATTAATTTCTTTTCCTATAGTTAGCTTCTTGTTCACAAAATTTCAATTTCCAATTCCCTATCATCATTCAGTGAAATAAAATATCGAGTCTTTAAAAATACACTTCTCTGGTATTAATACACACATAGTGACATATATATATACAATTGTTATAATATATAGTTTCAATGTATAACGTACTCATTTACATTCGTAGAACCGCTGATTTATTAACCCCAATTTCTCAACGGATATCTAGAGAAATACGCATTTGCCGTGAGCAAGCAATTAACCACGCCAGAGAAGAAAGCACATTTCGATCAGGCTATATCACACCGTGGGTATTGGTGTCTCTCAATAGAAGTGCGCCAGGGGATCGTGCAGGGTAAACTCGATTGTATCTTGTTTGTACGCGCACCACACTCAAGATCGAAAGCCCGATGAGATTATCGAGCCTATTATCCGGTAGCAATCATTCTTAAAATAGGGTTAATCGTAGAGATCCTGCTATTCACGGCACGTATCCGCCGCGGAGATTGGGAGAAGGAACGAAAGAAATTGTAAAGAATGAACGAGCATGCAAATAGTACACGTATTTATTTGCGTGTTTTAAATAAATAAAATATTATTCAAAACATTATTTCTCAGTAAAGAAAGGACATGTGAAATGTGCATGGGCATTGAAAACAATTTAAATCTCAGATGTAAAATGTAATTCGAGTAAGAGTACAGTATTAGATGTGGACTTGCGTTACATTGAAGCAAAGTAGTCATAAATTACTTTATAACATTTTGACATATACGAATTTTTAATTTTAACAGATTTCAGAATGAATTTTATTTTACAATTGACAATCAACGTGAAATATCTTAATGTAAATTTATTTACATGGAAAAGGCTGGATACTAATGAGAGACATTTCACATTTACATCAGCGCATTTGCTGCTGACGTGAATACGTTAATGGCAAATGGCAACTCTCCAATGATTAAAAATAGTAAACGTATTCGTGTGTGTGCATATATATATATATATATATCTTCATTCAAGTACATATCAAAAATTATAAATAATATATAATTTCATGGAACATAACTGTGAGATCGTAATAAGTTCAATTATTAAAAATATAATATGCATTTCGCTGTACGGCACAAATTTGTAAAATGAAAAAAATCTAACTCTGTCCAGGCAAATAAAACTCCAATTTTTCGTATGAAATTCATTGACTCTGGTCCAAATGACAACCTTCCAATAATTTCGATGAATACAATTTTACAATAAACTAAATGAAAGATTTAAAAAGGTACGAAATTAAATTTTTTCTCATTAAAAGCTCTATCGATTTGCTATTGGTACGTTCAGATCGGACGTGCGTTTGATGCATTCTGATGTATTGAAAATACATTAGAAAAACAGAGGAAAAACATTGTTGTCATTTGTTATCCAATATATCTCTGTATCATTTGATGTTTTCACACGAACGAAATAAGCATTTACAATTTTACCCGGCTGTTCAATTTCGTTGGATTTTTTCTTTTTTTACCAAGAGTACAAGTACAAACATTCGCTAGAATTGGAAAATAACATGTTTTTTTTATATCAATTAAATAATTTTAGTCATTTTTTATTGTACTCTTGTTATCAACTTAGAAAGAAGTGATTGCTGTTGAATTTAATTCACAACATATTTTATTTTTCAATGATTTATTGCTGCTACAGTATGAAACAAAACTTAAGTTAGATTCAATCTTATTGTCAGTTTATTTCACAGATTACGATCAAAATACATAGTATAAAATTTATTTTCCAGACCTATATCATGATATAGTACTGATGCTAATATTATTTGTGTCATGTTTATTACATTTAATTAGTAATTGTGTAACGCAAGGTACTCCTTCTTCTTTCTTTAACTTCTATTTCGATAAAAAAATTAGTTAAATCATTCAATACTTTAGTATCAGTCATATAAGCTTATCAAATTGGCAATATATAGTCTATGTATAATACAATAATAGTAGAAAATACTAACTAAGCATACATTTAAATACATGAATGAACAAACACCACAAGCAAATTATGTAGATAAATTAATGTGACAACCGAATCGTCGTTACATTATTATCAAAATAACCAGATTTGTAATCGAATTTTACGAAACATTCTACGTTGAAGTATTATATGACACAAACAACGTAACATGAAGTAAATCAATCATCACCACACAGTGTTTGTCCTCGCGCCAATGAGATATAAATGAAAATGAAAATGAAAGTGAAATTGAACAATTACAGTAGAAAAAAAAGAAGGTTTCATCATTATTTCGTAGTGAAAAAAAAAAAAAAAATAACAGTTACAAATGATCAGACGATCATGAATCCTCCAAGTATCTCGAGGATGACTTCCGGATTCCTGCTGCCATCTTTGGCGGAAGTTTGACGAATCGGTAAGAACAGTGAACTGCAAACCCTGCCTGTTTATTTGAATGGTACGAATTCGTCTTTGCAATCAGGTTTCAAGAGTTTCTTATCAAGGATGAGAACTCTACCGATATTGCAGGGACCTTGCTCGCCTTCTCTGTAACACCGACGAGTTCCTGGCCACAAGATCATGTTCTCAGGACATTTCATGGAAAGCTTCAGGTATTCTGCTTGGTCGGGAAAGTAGATGGAATCCGAATTCAGGATGTTTATGTCCATACCGTTTGCAGGACAGACAAGAACGTGCAACATCCAGAAACTTAGACCTACGATCGCTAGCAGCAAACGCATCCTTGGTCAATAACTAGCGAACTGCACGATCGTTTGAAACTTCTCTGATACCTGAAAAATGAACGACAATAACTGAGATTATTTCTTCGATTTTTTAAACAAATTTATTAGAATTCTCTAAAAACATTGAAAAATTTTTCTCATAATTGGAAGTCTACCGTGGCCCTAAGAGAATGAAATTTTCTCTTGCAACAACCCATTAAAACCAACTTACTGTACGATTTTTTTTACCGCTTTATTGAACCTTGAACGTTAGAGTTAAACAACGAAATGATTGAATTTCTTGAATTTTCGTCGTTTGATTCTAATATTCAACGTACAAAAATTAAGAATTCTCACTTCGAAGGAACGTAATTATTTTCAGCGTAAAGATTATGATACTTTTTTAGACACTGAAGATACCTTCGACTGTAGTGCCTGAAGCAACTCATTATTTAATCTTTTTTTTTGTAACGTTGAGTCCAAATGCAATCAACTCAGTGATTTAGTGATTTTTCTAAACGAGTTGAAAATATGACACTGTTATTCTGATCTATCTTTCAACAACAAATTTTATAATATTACCATCGTCTACCTATCTTCATTTAAACATTCCTTTTACATCACATCATTTTCTATTTTCATAAACGATAAATCATCTACTCATTTCAGACGATGATTCAGTAATTCTTATTAACAAAAAATCTGACACTTACTCGTTGAACGTAAAAGCAGCTTGAAATTTTTGTATGTATTAACACTTTTACAATTACATTCAAAGAAGTTGCTTTTACGAATCACAAAAACAGTGTCACTTTGACAATTTTAGAGAAATATTATAACGCTACGAAACACGCTTGGAAAGTGTCATATTCCAGAAATGTTCATCACGCGTAAAAATTTTAAAGATACGGAACCAGAATGAATGAATCGCCAGAGAAATATTTTACGATCGTATTTTTGAAATAATACAGAAGAATAATTGCGGAAGTTCAGTGTTTATCGAAGTCACCACTTTCAAAGTGATTTATTTTCACGCGATAGCTATTTTTCATCATTCACAGGTGCAATTTCGTACATATTAACGAGAGCATTAAAATCTAACGTGCCAGTTGAAAGTTTAATTTTTGTGAAAATGTTAAATCACATATTGCAATTCGGAAAAATACAAGGAGGATTAATCTACGTGTTGTACAATTTATAATTCGAGCATGTATTTTCACAAACAATTTTAGAATTTATTTCTTAGAATTTATTCGTAATTATTTCATCTAAAAATCTTTATGCTGATTTTATTCTAGAAACAAAGGTCAAGTAACGGAAATTATACTTTCACGTTTCATGTATTTGATCTGATTTACTTTAAATGTATGAATGTCTACAATCTACTTAAGTTGCAACACTTTTTTTCTACTTATCGGTGCTTCAACAGTAAAATAAAAGTTGAAGTGACGTAAACTGAAAGCATAGTTATCTGTTGTAAATGAAAGAAACGTTCTTTTCGTCTTCATGAAGCGAAGCTTACAATAGAAGAAAGAACTTCTGAATTAAAGAACCACTCCGTTGAAATGAGTCTTGGATAAATAACAGTATTATTTTGTTCCCCATCAAGAAATTAATTTACTTATTGGCTGTTTGCTTATTGAAATGCTGTTCTTCTTCGTGAATTAATAGTTAGGTATTAATTAAACAAGTTCAAATCAAACACTGAATAATAAGAATATAAATAAGCGCAAGCAAATACTTCTGGCACAATTTGACTAATATCATTTTTTATTTATACATTTCAAATAATTTTTTACTTGAAACGTTATATACTCTTGGAACATGTACTTTAATTCTATAACTGTTTCATTTCATATTAATGAATGTAAGTTATGAAAATAATCTATAACTTCAATCGACAAGTCGTAATTAATTTGTATCTAGTGAGTGATGCGACCTGTCAATAATTAATTTGAAAAAAATGTCATCTATGTTTCTCTTTTACAGATCCATCAAAAATTACAGTCTATCCAGCTAAATACTGGCTAATGACAACAGAAATATCAATATTTCTGTAAATTAATTTATCTCGGTAATTTAATTAATAACGATATCAACTGATAAATGTTGCATGCCGATGAACAGAGAATTCTGCACCCTTCGACGATCCTTTGGATAAATTCATTTCTCAAATTACTTCTCGTTTTCCTATCCCATAGAAACAGAAATTCTTGTTACGACGTCGATTGGGGATTTTCGTACGGAAAAGGGAGTAACTGTGCTCGTTCGAATGGCTTGAAGCGATACTAATGAACGTTTTACTAAAAACAAGCGGAGATCGCGTGCGTCGTAATAACGGCACCGGGCAACAATTCCTAAGGGTATTTATAATTTCACAGTTCGTTGGCCGCGTCTCTCTCGATCCGCGATGCTTAAATCTAGACTTTGTACCGTTCTGATGCAGTTCCACCGCATCGTGTCCGTTCTTTAATTTACAGCACCCACTCATTATCAAATGAACGAAATGAATAATTATTTTGCCTTGTTTTCAGTCGATGCTTTTCGCCCGCTGTATCACACAATGCGTAATTATCAAATTAAATTGGACTAGTAAAAAGACAAATATTGTACGATAACGTTCCGATAATATTAAAGAATTTTACAACGTATGAAACACTCACTAACTACAATCCTTTTTCTATTTAAATAAACGTTTACGTTTTTGTTTAATAATTTACGATTCATAATAATTTTATTATTCATGAAGATATTGCTTCGTTATTAAGTATTAGGTTATTATTAAGATCAGCTCCTGACAAACTTATTATTAAAATTAAACACGTTCTTTGTGCTTATTTTCAGAAACATTTGACACGATTAATAAATAAATTATAGATAATTTCACAGTTAATTTTTAATTCAAAAAGATATTCACTTTCAATTTTGTAAAATTCCATACATTTTATACGTGAATTATTAACTTGTAAAACTTCACCAATAATTGATTCAGTCCTGCAAAATAATCGCGTTGACATGTTGTAAAATGTACATGCAAAATATAGATACAAGTAAAGAATACAGAATATATATACGACTGAGAGAATTGAAAGATCACGAAACTTTACTCTGCGATAGTCTCCCATTCAAAAGATACCCTAATTTTTGCGACACGAATGACGAATTGTCACGAAACGACGAATCTATCGCACAACAGAGATTACTTCGAGCATCGACCTTTCATATTTTTATGGGTCGCTATAAAAATTTATGCTGCACGGTCGAGGGTGAAGTTTCCCGTTAAACTCGATTTCGCAGCGGTATTTCTCTCTCTCTCTCTCTCTCTCTCTCTCTCTTTTAAAAACTTCAGTCATGGACGACAGCGCGAGGACAAAGCATATCATTCTAATCGTGAATACGAGACAGGAGGGAATACGAAGCCTCGAATCAACCGCCCGACGAATCGACCGCGAATCTCGAACGCTATTATGCCATGCACCAGCATTGTTCCAGATGGAAAATTAAATTCAAACTTTCCGCCGCGCGCGAATAATCCCTCGCCACCAAGAAAATTTCGCGAATCGCCGTGATAACAAAGAAACAAACACGCGCGATGCTTTCTCGAAACTCTCGGCGTAATCTCGCCGCTCCTTGTCATCCTGTTCATTGCAACTTTACCGCCGACCAAGAAGTTTCTCCTCCTCCGCGTGAATGCTTGAGAAACATTTACACGCTGCACAGGCTGCGGATGTTGACGTAGTTTTGTACATTTTCATTTTGCATTCTGAAAATTTGCTCCGTCCACGAAACTCACACTGGCGTGAAAGATTAAGAGATCACTTAATTGTTTTTTTTTTTTTTTTTTTTTTTTTTTAATGAAAAATTGCCGATATCTCATTTGAAAGCATGAAGTCTCCACTTTCAAGATCTGTACTTTATTTACTTTTCTATGATGTTTCCTTTCTTCTACACAAATGAGAAAGTGAACGTAGTTTTTTTGCAAAAATTCAGACGTCATCAAAGACGTTGAAAAATTTTTTTTGAAACGGAATTCAGCTTGAATCTACAGATTGAATATGGGTTATGGTAAAGAAAAATATATATTACAAAATATATATATTTTTTTTTACTAAAATATTATTATTATTTATTCCATTAAAACATTCCAAGTTCCATCTTGCAGTGTAATAAAAATTTAAAGTTTCACAACTATATGGATTATTAATAATCGACGGAATGTTGAGTGCATCGATGCAGTGTATCGGACACTGCACACTATACATAATCTAGGTAGAGAAACTAGGTAGCATAAGTTAGCGTAATAGAATAGCACGCTGTTAAAGATGGCTCGAGTACACGCGCCATCTAAGTAAGTAACATTTTCAATAGAGAAGTTACATCGCGCTAACACGCGCGAGTAACAGATAAATTCTAACAAAGTGAAAACAAATTACAAAGTGAAACATTAAACTAAGTTTAGACGGAATATGTGGAATACGTTAGGGATTGAAGCTCGGTATGGCATGGTCCAGAGCTAGGTAGGCAGATTCAGCAGGTTAGGTCTGGGATTAGACGCGGGTTAGTTAAAATGGTTTGGGTTAAACTTAACTAGATAAGTTAAGTTTAGCTGAAATTGGTTAAATAGATTGAGCATGTTAAACATTTTGCCAGTATGGATATTTCGGACCAGTCGAATGATTGAGAGAGCAGGTTGAGATATGTCGAAAGATTCTGAAGTTAGGTGGAACTAGTTTGGTTGCTAATTCAATGCGGTCTACGGCAATCTCCATAATCTAGACTGTCTTCCATGTACACAGAGTCTTTGTTGTACGGTGTCTACACTTTCCACAATTGTTGACAATCTTGATTTTTATAAATATCTTTAATTCACATTTATTCTCAATATATTTAATTATACTTTTCAAGCGAGCGAATTTGGAAGATGTGTAAAATTCATTATTATTTTGCATTGAAATATAAATAATTTACCATTGGCAATTGCCCATTAACATCATGAATGTTGTTTACTTTGTTTAAAATTGTCCTTTCATTTGGTCACCACTGTTATAATGTCGAACAAAATATATTTATCTCATCGTAATTCTCTCATTCAAGAATTACTCTACAGTTTAATTACGGCAAATATTGAATGTGAATAATTTCAGAGAAAATTTATTTTTCTTATCGCCTTTAGACTTAACATTCGATTGTATTTATCTTATTATCTACATATATCTTTACTTATTCTACTTACTCTTTCTTTAACGTATCGGACAATAATTCAAAAGATTATAAACTGAGGCAAGAAAATTCCGAGTGCTTAAATTCTTCCTAATTATATAATAATTAATAGTTATTTTCAGATTTTCTAGTATAATCAGTAAACGAGACTAAGCGTTTTTTGAATTTTCAATTATATAACAGAAGAAAAGAGGAACGAAAAAAGACGATCACAAGTAAGAAAAAAGACATAAAAATGCACAGAGTATCGAATGTGTAATGCACAAAAAATATTGAAAACAACTTCTATAATTGCTTTACTTCGTAAAGACATAAATGTTCACAAAAATCGACAGCCTAATTGTCATTTTCGAAACACCGTCGTTTATTCAGGAATATTGCACAGCGTTATCGAGAGAGAAAAATCATAAACACACACGCTTAAACTACAAAACTTTAACACGAGCAGCACGATATCTCGAGGAGAAAGAAAAAAAAAAAAAGAAAAATCTGAAATTCGTCGTACAAAGCGCAGGTTGTTGGAAACATTGTGTGTCTGGCTCGGCCAGGCGTAAGTGTGGCAATAATTTTAAGAGTAAGTTTTCAACTTTCCCGGACGATACAATGACGGACATTTCTGAGAAGATAGAGCGCCCCCGGGCTTTTACATTATCATTGTGCCGGTACTCGCCTCTCGGCCGTACAATTTATCGCTTGTAGATAGCAATTAATCGTACACTCCAGCGCGAAGACGGGAATTCGCTCGAGGACGATTCTTCTCGTCCTTTTTCGTGGGGATTCCTGGCTGCGATGAAAATCGTTGCGATGGGCATTCATTACGAGGCGCGTAACGGCCTTCGAAACAATTCATTCCGGCTGTCACGCTGACTCGCGAATACTCGCCCCGCTGAGATGTATGCCTATCGTAATTTTTGAATACAACTTCGCGGCGACGCTGGAGAACCAGGTAATAAAATCATTATGGCGCGCGTTTAAATTTCATTGGTTAACGTCAGTCAAGTTTTATTACCAGGGTGGAATTTATAACTGTGTTTATATGTAAAACAGGGAATTCTCGGGGTATTCATAGTTTCTTCTTTGTTTTTTTTTTTTGTGTGTGTGTGTTAATTCTCGATATTCCTTTCCTAGAAAATTAGTTATTGAAGTGAAACTGGTTTAGTATTAAGATTTATGTTGTGTTGTGAGTTTGCAACTTTTAATTTTGGAATTGTAGAAATTTCTGACGAAAGGATGATGCAATCGATATTACGATGAATGAATTACGTAAGAAGGATAAAGCTATCTTAAAATAGACGTTGTTGTATCGCTTCAGATCGAAAGATGTTGCTATTATCCTATTCACAGTTTGATATAATAACGTAAGTAGATGTAGACTTTTTAAAATGATGATATCGCATAATCTGCACAGTGTCTCGCATTCGTAATAAACGTCTGCATCTAAGGAGTGACTAATAGAAGTGTGATGAACAACTATTCTGCTGAGGTTATCTTCGATAAACAGAAATCAATCATCTGTCTACTTGTAACCTTCAGTGACTTTAGACAAGAGCTAGGCGAAATTGAGAAGAATAGAAAAAGATACAATGAAGGTAAAAGAAAATGATAAATTACTATGGAAAAATTTCCAAATTTTTCGAAACTTATTTTTCAGTTGCTCTCAAACCGTAGGACCAATTTCAATAAAATACTCTGCAGTATCGGAGGCATCAGAAAGAAAATCGAATCAAGTTCCACGCGAAATTGATTATTAAAATTCGATTCAGATCCGGATTCTCATTTTCAGCTGGAAACGAGATAATAACTAAATCGTGAAACGAGAAATAACGAGAAACACGCACATTCATTATCTTCTTTCACGTGTCACTTGGCGAATCTCATTGTATCGCAATGCGCGATTGCATAAATTTCCAATGTGGCAGGATGTTCATAAATTACGGGCGAATCAAGAAATTAAAACTAACTTCGTGCACGGCCGACGGTACGATAGCAACAGCCAACAATTGACCGTCGCTGTTCACGGTATATAATAGAAAGTAATCCGATCTAAATTCGCGTAACCCGCGAATAATTTATCACGTCGAGTTTCGAAGCGTAATTGAACATTTTCATTTTTATTACGTGAACGCCGCTCGGTTGCAATTTATGCAATTCAATTAACTAAAGTGGAATTAAAATGTTCGAAAAAGTGCAACTCGGTATTTACGCACTAGTGATATCTGTGCTATTTCGTGTGAAAAAGTATACGGGATATTGGTCAATTTTATATCTCAATTGAAATTTGGAACGTTTGGATGTATCAGCTGTTGAAAATCATCAGGAAATCATCGTAGACCCTTCATTTTTATTCCCTTTCGTCGTACAGATCTTTACTAACAACAGACTTGTGTTTCAATTACAAAGAAAGCATTAACCACAAATTTTCTAGACTAATTTCACGTAAAAATAGACAAGAGATATTAATTTTTTAACTACAATATTGATTAATTTACAAAAAAACTTCAAAAAAGAATACACTCAATACCAATAACAATCATAGACACTTCCTAGACACATGTAACATGTAAAAAGGAAACCACTAATATTTCCACAATCAAACTGTCACTCACGTGCTAACGAACTTCCAACCGCTCCGAAAATTCAACAATCGCGTAAACCTCAAGACAGAATCCTTGTTCAGAGATTCCTTATAACGTTCGGCGACGAAGCGATTCGTTTTACATAATTCCGATTGAATTTACACTCTCTCACTTTCCCTTGGTCGCGACAACAAGATCAACGATTACTTTGCACTCACGTTTGCCCGTTTATTTCCCCCCCCCCCCCCCTTTTGTTGGCCGCACACCCGTCTCAATCTCCTTTGTTCTCCACCTCTGGCTAACTGTTTCCTCCACACACACACACTCACACACACACACACACACACTTTCTCTCTCTCTATCTTTCTCTCTCGTCCTGAACTTACGCCTCGCGGACCAAGGGTATAATTCGCCGTCGCTGATAGAGATTTGATAATCGACGCCGGGTCCAACGTGTCCCAGCCGGCGCGTACGTATCCAGACTCCGACGGAGACTGCGGGGATCGTGTATGAAAAGTTAATCTATGCGAGCGTGCGAGCAAAGACGTGGATGGCGAAAGGAGGTGGTGGAAGAGGCGCAGGAGGAAGGAGGCATCGTCTACCCGTAGGCATGTCATCAGTTTCACGGACGACGGCGAGGGGCTTGGGAATGACGAGAGGGAGGAGATTAATCCGAGCCAGCTGGCAATCACCTCAGCTAAGAGAACTCTGGTCTGATCGTGAGAGGACTACAGTTTCGTTCGAACCGTATCCGGGCCGTATCCTCCCTCTGGACTTCCCTCCGGGGAAATAAAAGAACGTGCGTATTTACGGGAGGCGAGGTAACGCGTATCCGGAGGCTGCTCGATAAATAGAATTTCTGACAACCGTCGGAATTTATGCGGACGAATCCCGGTGTTTTGGCGTTTAGGTGAGAACGGGAGAATCAAGTCAGCCCCTGATCGTTGCTCCTGTCTGTAGCCCGTACGAGAGTGGAGGTGACGGAGTAGCGAGCAGTTCAGTTGGCTCACGATTTAAAGGCGTTAGCAAGCAGCGAGAAAGCGATTAGCAACTTTGCGAACTTTAATGCCACGCTGATTTCGCTGATGAACGAAAGTTTTGGCCCCGCGTAGTTACCTCGCATGACGATCATTAGCGTCTGGCGACGAAATTAAAGTTAAATGATGTACAAAGACCGGCGGGGGTGAAGGGTGGGAGAGGGGAGGGGGATGATAGGTGAGTCGCGTTTCGGGGAATGCAGGTGGATCGAACTGTTGATTAAACGTTTAAACGATCGTTTGGGAAATGGATGGTGATGGAGAGAACGCGGGAGGAGGGGACAGGACGGCGGGACCTCTTTTCCGTTGGTTTCCTGATAATTGCTGTCCAAAAGCTACTCCGCAAATACGTATATTTTCTATTTTAACGTTGTTTCTCGAAATTTCCAGTTTCCCCCCGCAATAAGCGATAACTGTAAAATTGACTGATTAACGACTATCGACGACAACTTGCTTGTCGACCTGTATTTAGAAAATTCGAACGGATCGCGATTGATATTACACCAGTTTGGTATAATATATGATTATATACCATTGGATGGCTCATTGCGTGACGCGTCAAGCGGCCGTCACGTCACAGGGATTTCCAAGTACTCGAATGACTGTGACCATGCTCTAAACAGGCACATTTCCTACTTTTGCTGCAAAATTGCAATTACCATCACGGTCCCGTGGCCCCCGTAGCGACACCCCTCCCCCATAATCGATCGATTCGCCGAATCAGAACACGACGCGCAATTTAGGGAAATCATTTAGGTAATTCCATATTGTGAACAATATATCGAGGCATGGAATACAGATAGACCGGAATCGGTAATATAATTCCAAGTACAATTGTCAAATCAGGTAATGTTCGACAATTAGACGCGGAGATTCGATAATTTTAGTTAGAAAGTTGGAACGCGCTACAACACGCTGCAACAAATTGCCAGGCAATGAGAACTTTTAATCTTTATGTCGATATTTCAATTAATTAATTAATTAATTAACTAACTATTTCCTCTTATTGTTTAATGAATTTCGCGCGAGTCGCGAACTTTGTTACTTCTTGCTTTGCGATTAAGAAGTGGAAGTGCGTACCAACGATTGAAATAATATTAAATAATACTTTTCTCAAATGGGAGTGCAGAGAGTAGGAAAAAATTTCGCAATGCAGTGGAAGAAGGAGAATCTTGTTGTTACGTAAATTTCACGTGCAAGGCGTGAATTGCAGTTCGTCGTCCTGTAATCGTGAAATAGCGTGTGACGTTATACTGTGACACGAATCGAGAAACTACTCTCGATTCTCGTGGATACTTGTGGAAGAAGAACTGCATACGTTGAAAGGATGATTCATAGATTTATTCAGCCAGGTTTAATGTATTCGTTCACTTGAATTATGTAATAGTGTTTCCGCGGTGAAATGTAAATAGCATACTTAAAAGAGTTGTAACTAGAGTTTCATTGCTTTCGTTAATACGATTTATCGACGTTGAAAAGAAAAATGTAGATATTTTTCAGATCGTTACGGATGCTTATGTTAATTCAGTCAGTATCTGTTCGACGTGGCAAGATTGTGGATATTTATGTGTTTGCCAGAAAAATTTAAATGTACAGAAACAGAAGGACGAGACAAATTTTCATTTAAATTCTAATTTATTTGTAATATAGATACGACGTTTATTTCCACGATAAACTAAATGTTGTTCAACAAATTTACATCTTGATGAAACAGTGACAAATATCCTTTCATACTATATAAAGAAATATATAAGAAATAAATAAGATATAAATTTGACATTAATGGGAAATATTAATATTAATGAAATAACAAGAAATATATAAGAAATAAATTTGGCATTAATATCTTTAAAATCTTACATTTAATGAGTTACACTTTGTCAGCAACGATCAATCATCTAACAGTCGCGACACAGTCGAATAATTTGCACCACATCTATCATGTTTAACAACGTGGAAAAATATCTACACAGGGAGAAACACTGTCCGAGAATGATTCATCTGTTTAAACATGTGCCGGTCTCGCTGTACTTTTTTCCACGATTCGCCCGATACGCAATATGTTGGATTTCTGGCTGGCATGCCAGGTAAAAGAACGAACCACAAAGAAGAATCCGGGATTCATCAATTGGCTGTCCGCGTAGCAAATGGAAAATTACTCGACCGCTTATAGGTTTTCGTGGTCAAGTGGCTGTAGAAGTTAAATAGAAACTCGGAACGATTGACGATTGAGTTGGGTTACAGCTCAGAAAATTAAACGGATCTGGAATAATGCCTTTTTTTATCGTGTTTGACAGGCATCGTTTCGTTTAACCGGCCGGACCCGTGTCACCTGAAATTAAAAGAAAAAAACAATCGGATTATTCTGAAATAACAGCGCCTACGTAGCTTTTCCTTCCTTTTAAATACTCTAAAGCGTGGCTCGAAGTATATTCCATAATTTTGATTTTTCGTTAACGATAATTCGTTATTCCATACTTTTCTCCAAAAACGAAACAATGAAAACGTCACCTCGAGGTGACTTCGTTTTCAATTTCTAGATCTTACGAAATATTTTGTTCTTAGACCTTTTTCATTATTAGAATTTTTTTACCGTAATAAATCTTTTTCAGCCCTAAAATAATGATCCATAAGATTAATATCGCGACGAAAATAGACAATGAAATGTAAGAAAATATTTCGTTATAAAAATCAGTATATTCCAAGATGTTTATTGATTTCAAAGACATCTCTATTCATCTGATTCAGTTCAATTAATGTACTTTTGTAAGAAAATGTAAACGCTCTATCTATCTGTCTCAGCACATTAAATTTAATAGACAGCGAAAGGGAAACATCGTTAAAATATACGTACTTGAGAAATCTTTTCCCTAAGTGTGGGAAAGATTACTCAACTCGTCATATTTCTCTGTCATATTCCCTCCCTCCCGTCAAATTAAGGAATTCTCTAGTAACTCAGTAACCAAAACGATTTCGTTGCATTTAAAAATTATTATTCGTTCGTATGCAAGTACGATGCAGGAGCAGATATCGATCCAACGGTAGGAATCCGCAGTAAACTGTCGATAATTGAGCCGTATCCCGTTTACGGACGTTTTGTAGCAATGCCCACTGCGCTGTAATCAACACTCGATGCGGATCAAAAGTTAATCACCGTGAGATACTGCTCGTAAGCATTTAATCATCGCGAATTCTGGCGGTGCAGTTCTCGCTTGGAGCGCGCTTTTAATTGCGATTTGATTACACTGTCTGCAAAAACTGCCTGCACAGTTCATTAGACGTTGCATCGATTGAAAATACTTTTAGAAAACGCATGCAGCGTCTAACCGATGGCCCATCTGTTTGGTGTTTAATCAAAGAGTACGATTGATGTCTGCATGTACATGTACGTACGTGTATGTATTTTAAAAGGGAAAAGAAATAAACTGTCGTAACGAGGTATGTGAAAAGCTGATGGTAATTATTTTCTGAATGTATATTATGGTGGAATTATATTCTACTTCATTAAGCGTTGAAATTTTTATTACGACACTGAAATCTTGAGTTTCTACAGATTTCGAGAAGGATCGCAGGTTTACTTATTAAAAAGTGAAATAAGGAATATTAGAAATTTTGTAGATTTTATTATTTGGTTGTTCTCACGATCGCCGAACAGCCAAATGTGCTACTAATAGAGAAACCAGTTAATTATAATGATTTATTAATTGTCTGACGCGTCTATGTATCTTCGAATATTTTATGTCTATATAATAATAAATTGAATGTATCGCGTACTTTTGGTAATACGTAATTTGACAAAGATGAAAGCGAAAAAATTTCGATAATAATTTTAATTCTGTTTATGGTCTATTCGATATTAATTTGTACAATTTAGTACAAGATCTATTTTTGTAATTTAGCACGGATAAGATGAATGTTATTTTTCGTTTCATGAAAATAATATATATTCTGTAAATAATTTATAACAGACACGAATTAAAATATCCGTAAAACTTCCATCGAATATCAACCAATCACTTCGAAAGATTGATCAAATTCAATATTTCGAGATAAAAATATCACTACAGGTAGAAAGTACGTCGATGAAAACAATGAAAGCCTCTATCATGAAATTTATATTGGCGAAATTTCAGTCAGTTTAATTAAATCTCGCTTCGTTAAGAGTCGAATCACTCGACGAATATACACGTATCTCGTATGTATATATTGTATCGCTTTCCATTATCATTCGGAAATTTGAAGTTTCCGGCGTGTCGAGTAAATAATAACCTTGAAATAAAATCGTCACTCCAAGAAAATATTTCATCGAATTCGTTAATGCCAGAAGTATTTTTTATGGACATCATTTATCTTAATAATCCTTGAGCTTAAGGGCGCAATTAATCAGCCATTGAGGTCATGAATAATTCATTCGGCGGGGAAAAGAGAACCCTCGCCGAAAATATTCCAGCGTAACCGATCTTAATTCGTGCCATTCACCTACCGCCATTTAATTCAACCATTT